TATTGTTATTTTTTAAAAAGCACCCCGGATTGTTATAAGCATTTGAATCTCAAATAGTTACGTAATTCTTATCTTATTAAAGGTCAGATCTAAAGTTTTTAAATTATTTGAGCATCGATTCTCTTTATAGCCAGGCGTTGATCATTTCGACTGGAAATAAATATGACATTTGACCAGTTTTGTTACACAAATACTCCCACGACCAAAGGCAAAAATATTGGCTACAATTTGTCATTTTGTTTGCCATATATACGTTTTATCGGTGCACTTGCACAACATTCGCATTCGCAAAAGCTCCGCATTGATTATTGCGAATGTTAAAATTAATGCCCAAGCTCCGCGGTTGCGAATGGTAGGTCTCATTTGGTCCACCCTGTATTTACGTGCATACCCAATAATAATTTTCCAATAGCATTCCAAGTTATCACCTTAAATGGGCTCTAATCATAAAGTATGTATTAGCATTTACGTTAAACTCTATTGTATTTGAAAATCTTTAGTTTAATGCACTCAAGTCTAATTGCTTTCAAGTCTAATTAGAACGGTCAAGGTTAACTGTTTACGTGCGACACTACCAACATATAAAGTTCCATTGCGCGCAGGTCATTGTGTTTGATACAAATTTATTCATTCATCTGTTGGATCTTTTTTATAACTTTGTAACTGAAGGTCTAAATGCTAATTAAGATTTGCAATAAGAAATGAAAGTGCGGAACAAGTCACTACGTCGGTCAGTCTCGGTCATTAGGTATGGCCTTAAGGCGTGACTAAGAGAATAAATAAATGGAATGTTTTTCGTGTATTTGTTTTTAATTCAATGTCGATAACTGAAAGTGAGAATAATTAGAAGAATGGAGCGCAAGCGCATACATACTTATTAATCTATATTGAAATATACATACATATAAACACATACATACACACAAATACACGTTTGGACATACATATACACAAATTAAAAGTTTGTAATTAAACTTGTTTTAATGCTAAAAAAGAAACGAGTTTGCGTGCAAGCAATAAATTTAAAAAAACATTGAACTGTACTTAATTCTGCAATGAATTACACATTTTAAGAAGAAATAATTTAGGAAAATAGCACGATTTAAATGTATACATGGGGATGCGTATTTATACTTAAATTTGCCAAAATATTTTGTATATATATTTTTGTAATATATTCAGCTACCCCGTTTTTTTTTTTTCATTTTTTAATGGCTGCCACAAAAGAACAGGTAAAGTAAAGGTAATCCTATCAGAACTGCTGATGAAACAAAGCCTCGTAATCGCCTAATGCTTGAGACACAATGCAAAGGACCTTACCACGCGACAAGACATTAATAGCCCCTACACAAGCATTGGTTTATTGGCCTTGGGCGATTTCGTTTGAGTTAGAATGTTTAAAGCTTCTAGCGCTTAGATTTTATTACTTTTTCCATTTCTTCCTAAAAACAATTAGTGGTATAAAGCTGAATAACTCTATTGCAATAAAAACAACAACGACAAAATTACACTTTGTGGCCGGTCGTTTCCAATTTCAGTTCGGTAACGTTTTTTCTGGTTACACTGGCTTACAGCAAAAATGCACACTGGGTGCCACTATCCAATTCCTACGTAGAATCGCTCGCATTTTACAATTTACCGTTAATAACAACAATGGATTGGCGCTTACACATATGTTAGTGTTTGGCCGAGCTTCTCCTACGATTTGTGGCGTGCGGCTTGATGTTGTCACACAAAGCGGAGGGACCTACAGTTTTACGCCGACTCCGAACGGCGATTGTATTTTTTATGAGAAGCTGTTTTTCATGGCAGAAATACACTTGGAGGTTTGCCATTGCCTGCCGAGGGACGACCGCTGTTCAGAAAAAACCTTTTTTCTATATTTTTTTTACGATGTTGCTTTGACCAGGGCTTGAACCCAGGCGTTGCGGAGTGGAGGCGCGCACTGCTTACCACAACACCACAGCGGCCGACAATTTACCGTTATTCATCTAAAAAAAAGTGGTTCCACTTAATCACGTACATGTGCAACTCTAAAAAGCAGGTAACCTTTGTGTTATTTATCTTTATTTTTATTGTTGTAAACTATATCAAGATGGTTGCTTTTGGGCACAATTCATAGACGTATACTTAAAGCCTCAAAAAAATGTGGATACATTTTCTGCATAACTTTTGAATTATAGGTGTTTTAATTTAAAGGAAAGAATGAAAACAAGTAAATTTTTTATGTAATTTTTAAGAGGGGCACAATTAACTATGTCATTACTTTTGAAGCACACCATATACGGGTTTGAAATTTTATGTGCAATTAGTACTTATGTGTACACTTCATATGTAGTTGGTAACTAAAGTGTGCTTTAAAAAATAACTAAATGGCAAGTAACGAAAAGTGGGTAACTCTACTTTTCACAATTTTCAAAATTTTTGGTTTATCGCGTATAGTTTTTGAAGCATTCCACTTTTTTATAATATGATACCTTAGAAAGAGGTGTGCTTTCAGAATAAACCAACTTTTAAAGATAAAAAATTATGGGATCTTGAGCGTAATTTTTATTCCAAAAACATTTTAATTGAAGGTACTTTTGGAAAATATGTCGAAACGATCTAAATCTTTTTATAACTACTAGTCCTGATAATGTTACATATACCTGTAAAATGCTTCAAACAAATGTTCTCTAGAAGTGTGTAAAAACCCTGATTTACTACTTTTAATGATGCTCCTTCTTTTAGTCAGAATATTTCGAGCGTGGTATCAAAGCAGCTTTTTCGACAAAGGTTCCGATAATTGCTCTTACTTAATTGAGACCTTCTAAATGCAATGGCCTTTTGCCCGATTGGCTCCACTTTTCTAGATAGCGGTACTTGAAATTTTACTTAAATTTTACCTATTTTATAAAACAAACTCCCTTAGTTTTGAGGATATTTTACTAAAATTTTACAACGATTTTATTTTAATATTACCTTCACTTCATCGAAATCGGTTCACTTTAATATCTAGCTCCCATACAACTGACAGTTCAGAGACGTTGTTTTGTGTTATAACTCCTCCAATTAAGCAATTAAAAATTTAGTATAGGTTCACTTTAACATATAGCACGCATACAATTTATTATTCAGATATGAAGTTAAAGTTATACGTCAAAAACACATCTGAGTAATCATTTGTATTGGAGCTATATGTTAAAGTGAACCTATTTCGATAGTTTTAAGGAAAAATTTATGTATGTAATATTAAAAAAACGTTATGTGCAAAATTTTAGTAAAATAACTTCAAAACTGAGGGAGTAATTTATAAAACAATTAAAATTTTATCAAATTTTCAAGTACCGTTATCTCGAAGACCGGAGCCAATCTAATAAAACGGGAGATGCCATTGAATTTGAAATGTCACAGTTAAGTGAGTTCAACTTTAAAAATCTTTGCTCAAAATTTACCACTCGCACAGCGTAATTTTAAACCAGCTTATCCGTTTGTTTTCTATTTCAGCGATCTAAATGTTTATTCTCGTCTTACTTTTGAAGCACTTGATGAAAATGAATTACACTTATATATATCGATTTATTAGGAGACTACGAATAGAATCATATATAAAATTTTTTGTTTTGAAAGTGTACCTGTTTTTTTTAGATTTACCCATATGTATATGTATCTTCACAGTACTTAATGTTTTCTTTACTTTCTTTTTATCTGTTAATTTTTTAAATAATTTTAACTTTAATATGGTTCTTCGAAAATAGCTTAAAACAGGACCCAAAAACGATTCCAATATTCCACTACAGGCTTTGATCATCTGCTCAACAGTTGGCCATCGGTTTTTTTACAAAAAGAAAAAACACCGTTATTTGGTTTGAAGTTTTCTTTATCAAATACTATGGGCAAAAAGTTGATTTTTGTTCGTTGTAACAATATTCAAATGCTCATAAAAATTAGGAATTTTTTTAATTTTTGGAAGAAATTTAAGGAGTGTATTTCAGGCGGCTAGACCTCTGACGTCTATAAATTTTTGACCCACTTGAGATAGCCTTACGCACATACAATAGAATCAAAATACAACAAAAAGTGAACTGAGCGGAAAGAAATATGTAGCAGTTCCAAAATCGTGTTTTGTTGTTATGTTATTGCATGAATCGGAATGCCTAGCAACCGGTGTAAACCGTGCAAACCGTTCAATCCAGGCACCGTGCAAGGATACTGATAGACTTAGAGAATCCCCCTAATTTGTTTCTAGCTGCATATGTACTTATACAAATACTTATAAGAATATAGTTGGTACTAGGGCATTCAATCCCGGGATGCAGAATCCCGGAATTCCGGGATCCCGGACACTTTTCCATGTCCCGAAATGCCGGGATTATAGCTCCGGGATCCCGAGATTTTTACTGCTTCATTTACAGAATGAAAGAGATGTTGAAAACGAAAAAAATAATTTATTTGACTTGAAACACGAGAAATACAGAACACTAAAATTTGGATTCAAAGTGAACTTGAGTCATTTGCACTTGGAAGTGAATTTCAGGAACTGCCTGAATAACTGTACTCGTTCAAATATTTTGTGCAAGAACTGTGTAATAACGAAAAATCTGGTAGCAATTCAGAACACAAGCTTTTACAGTGTGGCAGAATTGTTCCTCATTTTACTTTGTCGGCCTTTTTTGGAAAAGGATTTCTGTAAATATGAGTAAATGTTTTTGACAAGTAATATAGATATTTTAGAATGAAAATTATTTAAACATCAAATTACATACTCTTTTACTAAGGAGCATTATGCGCCCCTAAGACGAAATGTGTTGACAATGAATCTGTGTGGTTTGAAAAAGACGAACCTACTGTAAAATGCAAGAAGTTATTATGAAGGCGAAATCCCGAAAAATCTCGGGATCCCGCGATTAGAATTCTTACATCCCGAAATCCCGGGATTGTTAAAATGCTTCGGGATTGAATGCCCTAGTTGGTACATAATATGTACCTTTTATAGTTTTACGCAAAACACGTATGCTTGCTTACCTATCTCGTATATTTTCCAAATAGTCAGCGATATAATCAACCATAGATTTTGCAAAGTCCTTGAACTCGGGCGCTTCCATATCGATCTAGAAATTAAAACCAAATTATTTATTTTAGTAAATTTGCTTTTAAAATTATATATTGAGGGCTATTTAAGAAATTTTGGTTTTAATGAAAAAATATGTGTACATATATTAGTTCCAACCACTTACCGACACATTCGGATCAAGTTTATCCAGATTTATTTCCGAAATACCCTTTTCCAATTTTTGATTTTCCAAATTTTTACTCATGTTAGTGCTTGATAAGGTACTTAATAGCTCTTTTTATTAGTAAAAACGAAAGGAGAGGACCGAAATTAAATGTTAAATGAGTTGTTTTACAGCTCACACGAACATATGTACATAAGTATGCCTATGATAATAATAATTGTTTATTTACTATTTTTTAATACTGGGCCATTCCATTGTGACTGGTGGAACATTTTACTCCAGAAAATGATCAAGTTGTCGGAACTTATAAAACAGCGAAAGATATTTTTTAACATAGAACGATAACTAATGTATAAAATTGCTTTAACAAAAATACCAAACGATTTCTTAGTTTTATGTAATATCGATGGAATGCATGTGACTAGTGGGACACTGAAAATAACTCAATTTTACCTTACCCTTGTGCACTCAAAGATGAATTTTAGCCAAAACTCTTTACCTTCATCTAAAATGTTTTTGTGTTTTAAAATGTGAATTATACCTTTTCGTTTTCAATAAAAATTAGGTTTATATACTCTTCATATAAAAATATTAAAGAATATTTATAGTTACTAATATCGCCCCGTTGTCGAAATTCGACCACTTCACTTTTTTCACACACTTTTTCATTTTGCCTGGGAAGTTTTTTTAGGTCCATCAGCACCTGTTAACCGTGTAGCTCACTTACATATATTGTTTGGTGGAGTAATATACATTCTGTTAAATAATTTAAAAATTCATAGATGGTGAAATCAAATCAGGCACCTACCGGAAAATAATACCTTTCGAACAAGAGAAGAATCATTCACATTGGTTGAGAAACGTAGGAGCAGTAGGGAGGAATAGATTTGTATGGGATTTCGTTAGCGTATTAATATATAGATGATTGGTGGGACATCTCCTTGTGACTGGTATAAAGTAATTATGCATGAAAAAAAGTTTCCATAGACAAAAACTACAACTTCTTTTTTTTTTTTTTGTAATATTTTTTTACGGATTAATGAAATGCAGTCATTTAAATAGAGATCATTAGGGCTTATTTAAATTTATGTCGTTGTCCTCTTTTAAATGGAATGACCCTAATACCGAATATGATGGGTCTCCCTATTGTATTTTTTGACCTATCAAAAATAGTTAGTATTAAAAAATTCTAAATATAATTTTTATAAGCACACAAATCCTGGGTGTGAGAACTTAGCATTTTAATTTTTTCCCACATGTATTTTTGGACCACCTTCATACATTTAATGAATATATACAACACAGATGCTTGATGATAAGCTACAGATTTTAACTTATGCATTTTCAAGTCGCTAAATAAAAAAAGATTACTATCAAAAACAAAAACAAAGCAAGAGCATAGAGAACAATTAGAATTTGAATATGAAGCTTTTGATTAGTAATTTATTAATCAATTAAACAAAAACTGTCTTCTGATTTTAGAAAACGATACAAGAATTATGACTATGATGAACAAATCTCTTGACAATTATTAGAAATATTTTTTAACCAGCGCACAGGGTCGGAAATCTACAATTTTTATCATTCATATGTATGTATGTTTTTGAGGTCGTTGATTACACAGGTTTACAAAAAAAAAAGGTATGCATATTAAACCAAACCTACATATATATCCCTATGGTATTTGACATGCTGAATGCGAATCCGAGGTCCGTTAGCCTTCATCACGTCAGGTTCGTGGTCATTTGAAGGTCAAGTAGGGAAAAATTCTCTTAATAAACCTGAAAATTCAATAAAATTCATCGGAATTTGACCTTGGGATGACCTTGGCATGACCTCCAGATGACCTTGAGGAATCAAGGGACCTCCATACTCGGTTTCAGTGACAACAAAAACAATTTTTTTTTTTAATTTTTATTGAATAAATTTTATGTCCTATTTGAACTTCAAATGACCTCGAAGCTGACATTATGGAGGTTAACGGACCTCGGATTCGGGTTCAACGAATGTAAAACCTTATGTATATGAATTTTCAGGTTTATTCAATCAATTTTTCCCAACTTGACCTTCAACTGACCACGAACCTGACGTGGTGGAGACTAACGGACTTCGGATTCGCATTCAGCATGTCGAATAGGGATGTATGAGTTTGGTTTAATATACATAAGCTTTTTTTTGTAAATCTGTGTTATGATTCTGCATGCAAATTATTAAATTCCACATGGCGATTCCAATATGACGGAACATTTTTTCAAAAAGTTGTTATATCCTCTTCGAACTCAATATTTAGAAGTTTTCGAAATCGTTGATTACAAATCCGTAGCTCTCTACAGCTGGTTTCTTTCAAACATCGTAGCTTTATTTTTTTCATAATTATAGTATGTGTATAAAATTATTTTATTGTAATATAAAATGTTCTGACTAACACAATTAAAAAACCATATCTTTTATTACAGAATCCCACTTGTTTAACTCAAATCGACCGATTAGAACTTTTGCATTTTATAGCTTACTCAGTGACATGCATTTCTAGAATACGGTAATGAGCAATTATTTTTTTATTTAACTATAAAACAATTATGAATGTTTCAGTTCGACCCTATTAAGCTGGTATTTCAGGGTACTATTTTATATATATATAAGGAAAATTTGAAAGTTAGGGGGGGCTCGAGCACCCCCCTGCCCCTACCTGGCTACGCCCATGCACCCAATCCACTTTTTATATACAACTGGCATCAGGGTTCCTGAAAAAACTGGGTAAATACTTTTGTCGCCTCTGCTTATTGTTTTAAACTTAAAATAGTATGTATTTGCGTACCATTATTTAGTTATTAAAGGTTTTGTAAGGAGCTTTTTTCTAAAATTAGACACTCCCACCCACGGGTATTTTTTTTTGGCAGGAGCAAAAGGAGAAAAATTCAATCACACTTCCTAACAAGGTAGTTAAATTCCTCAAAAACGAGTGCATAATAGTGCATAGTAGAACTTATATTAAAAAACGAACTTGCTTTAATACAATCCCTGATCGTTATTAAAAATAAATATTTCTATGTATGTATATACCAAAGTTGCGTACGCCAGACCGCGCATAACTCGAAAATGGATGGTCTACTTTGAGCTGTTTTTTATTACAGTTGATGGATATAAAAAAGTTATTTGTTTGTGAAAAAGTTGTGGAATTTTTATTAAAAAGAACACACAAAATTAAAACATTTGGCGCTTACGTTTCTTTCATGGTTAGGGCTCGTGTACATCGAATATGTTCGGGCGACATCAGGCCTCGAAAAGTAACATCCGTTCACGGATCGAAAACCATACGAAAGAAAATTAGGTGATTCGTCAGTCGTATAGGCTGAATGGGATAAAGAGTACGTTCACGTATGTTACAATCCGATAAATGTGTTTTGTTTTCATGTGACAGAATCAATAATACACAGAGGTAGATTTTAGTAAAAAATTATAATTTTTCAATTCATTTATTGAACAAATATCTATAATATTCAGAAAACAAAAGAACTCATTTGGTGTATTAAAAGATAAAATAAATATACTCCGAATACAGTGACGAACAACCGTATTGGCGCAGAAAATTTTTCGCAATATATGCAAACCTTTTCATCCTAATTTTTTTTTATGATTTTTTATAAAAAGCTCTTACTACAGCAAAAAACATAAAAATAAAATCTCTAAAATTTGTGCAAAACTCAGAAAAATTCAAAAAGATGGCAATGTTTTTCATTCTATTTGTTTGGATTCTTTATAAAACCGTAGTTAGTGCTACACCAAAAAACATAAAAATAAAATCTCTAAACTCTGTGCGAATCTCATGAAAATTCAATAAATTTGTATACTAATTCCTTTCTATTCAGTTTTTTTAAAAACATTTCATTCAATTTTAGTAAAACAAAGTGCAAGTTTAAAGTTAGAAAATCGCATTGATTTTTGGCAATTTTTTCACGCGATTTCTCCCATACAGAATATGTTCGACAATTTTTTTTGTAAGGTAGAAAATAATACGTCCGCAAAATATCTCGACTCAAACAACTCTGAGGTAGTCCAAATAAACTTGCAAATCACTAAGGCATACTGGGAGCGTATCTGCCAAATTTCACTGCAATCAAATGCACTACAAAAGTGCATTCGGAAAATGCATTTAAAACTGCATATACATAATTCATGCTCCCATAAATTTTAATAAGTTAATATGGGAACTTTTAGCTTTAGTTTGGTGTAACTATTGTCCCTTAAAATAGATCATGGTGCGACACTGTATCGTGGGTCATATAATGACTGTAAAAGTGGGTCAATTTATGTTATATTTGACCTTTAACATTTATCATTACTAAGCCCTTTAAATTGGACTACACTAGAAGTTCCGTTTATATTTAATGTCCCAACCGTGGCGATGGAAAATTCTGAGTCAACTGAATCAAACAAATAAAACATGCATAAAAAGGTGTTAGTCATACGCCATGTTGCACAAAAATTTCCTTTTAAGATTTACTAATATTAAACTGTGGCTGAGTGGTTGGAGGTGCGTAATGCCAATCCGTAGCACCTGGTTTCGATCCCTGGTCCGAGCAAAAATTTTTTATCTTATGTTATTATTAAACCTAAAGGTGTTTCTTACGATCTTCGCCCTACGGCGTAGCGAGGAGTACATATTTTTGAAAAATGGGCCCAACAGCCCAAGGGAATGAGGCGTCTAACGAGGGCTCTAAATTGTCCGCTATGGTGTTAATGTATCCAGAATTTCTTAATTTTTTGTTAATTAATGCCAATTCATTAACACGAAAATATGGGATTTCAATCCAATCCATTTTGGCTTGATGATACATAAAGGCAATTTGGTACATAAAAAAATTAACTTTTTGTCCTAGATATTTGATAAAGAAAACTTTGATCAAATAACGGGGTGTTTTATTTTTGTAAAAAACTAACGACAACTGCTTAGCAGGAGGTTAAAGTCGTTGTCTGTGAGCAACGCGTTAAAAACGTTTTAAATAATTAAAATAACAAACATTAATTTCAATAAAATATGTAAAAGAAAAGTAACAGTAAGGCTCAGTTAGTCTAGACATAATTTACACAACGTAACCTACGATGTGTCTTATAGGCGTTTAAGTGACAATCAGCTGACAAGGAAAATACAAAAACAAAATACTTTCGCTTCTGGCTAAGTTGACGTGTTGAGTATTTAATCATTGACGATTTCTTCGTAAGTTAAGTCTAGACTAACCTTAAAAGCGGACTCATCGTCGGAGAGAAACTCACCAACAACCATATGGTAGAAAAGTTCAGAGCTAGAACGATAAATCCGCCTTAAGTGCTTAGTTTTTTAAAAGAAATATTGTTTTGAACAAACAGAAATCAAAAACTCGAGAAAAACGGTTTTAAAATTTTGGATTTACATACACACATCTTAATTCAGCATGGAATGAGGCTAATTTATCTTGCCTTTAGCTTTCATACTTTTAATGAGCTTATTTGCAAAGAAA